AGATGTCCCATCTGCCAGACGACCAGTTGAGCACTCTGAAGAAATACCTGGGCCTGTATTTACTGAGCTACCAGAGATTGATGTTCAATCCCTCAGTTTACCTGCTTCTACAGATGATGATGCTCAGATCGAATATACGCCAAGACGCTGCAGAATTGAATTATCCGGTGGGAGAAAAGGAACTGTTGGCCTTTAAGTGTGCCCTTGAACATTGGCACCACCTTCTCGAAGGTACGCCAACCCCCATCACAATCTTCACCGACCACCAAAACCTTCAATATTTAAAAACCAACCGAATTCTCTCGTCCCGTCAGGTACGGTGGAGCTTCCTCTTCAAGCGGTTCAATTATCTAATCACATACCGCCCAGGTTCTAAAAATGGGAAGGCAGACTCCCTCTCCCGGATTGGGGAGCAACAGTCTCCTCCTCTACTCCCTCAACCGCTCATTCCTAGGGAGAAGATCCTTGTAGCCACAGTGAACCTCAAGGACGAACTTCAGAATGCACTATCGCTTCCCGATAGTGTACCCCCTATACAATGACTTGGAATCAGCACCCCAAATTTACCTTAAAACGGTTGGAATACCTTATGCCAGAAAAAGTGTGTTGACCAGTGTATTCACAAAGTTGATTGGATTGCACTATAAACACTATATAATTTTAGTTAGAAAATTGGAATTTACTCTAAAGTGCACCTGTGTCCAGACTATGGATATTACAGCATTTAAATATTCTTAACAAGCAGTACAAGAAACCCTTCAATGACCTCTGTAGCTACATGTACTATGAAGTAATTGATCCTCAAAGATTACAACAGAGACGGAAGTTGGAGTTCATTGAGTTTCAAACTGCGTAATGCCCTAAGGATTAGTTTCTCCAGCATATCTGCAACTACTGAAGTGAGGGTTTTTTAAAGCTCTATGTTTTTTGCTTGTTAAGAATATGTAATTACTGTAATGTCCACAGTCTGGGCACAGTTGCACATTAAGATGAAAAACATAACAACATTTTTTTTTTTTACAGATGCTGCCCTGTGTACCACAAGGAAGCTAAGTTCTCCATAGCAAGACAGGTGGAAACCACATTTTACCTGGGACTTTTCAGCCAGAGACATTGCTACAAATTAATGTCGCAGCAAATGTAACTAAACGAAATTCAACAGCCATCTGTGACCATGATCCAAAAACCCACGTGCATTTTTCACATAACAGGGGACTCTTTTAATGAACTCATTTTGTAAGAAGGTTGCTGTACATTGGAAGGTTCCATTTTTACTGTGCTCCATTGCATCACCATTGTATTTTTCATCTTGTCAAAAGAAATGTTTTTAACTCTATGTAAATATTTGTGCTGATGTTTCTGGACAATCCATTCCGAGCTCATCATGTGTTTTACCATTTTGGAGTAAAATACTTGCACTTGAATCGTCATACCATTATTCCTCTTAACAAGGAATCCCTGTAGAGAACAGCTTGAACATTTCCTCCTTTGTATGAACTGAACTTTGGAAAGATCTGAATGATTTTGAACGTTCCACATTGTTGCCACTACCTGCTTTGTCTGGTGAAATGTGACACATTGCAATAAAAGTCTTAATCATTCTTCCATTTTAAAGCACAGAAAGATCATCGTTTATGGCTCTTTCCTTCTTTACGATATCAATGCAGAGTCTTATCCAACCTATCAATATTTAAAAAATAAGGAAACAAATTCCTTCAAAAACCTTGACCCCAGCATCTCATAAATTATGGCCGTTCAAAGACCTGCCAATGGACTGCCCCTCATCCGATGCAAGTGACTTTTATATCTTTAGAATATCTTAACCAAAATACCAAAACGTTTTTTAAGTTTTGAATGGCTTGTAAAAAGGTTAGAACCTCTGTCGCCTGGACCGCAAGTGAATGGAGATCAAAATGTTTGAATTCTTGTAGAACAAGAATAGAGGGGAAATCTTTCTATGGGGACAACTGTGTACAATCAGATTTCCCTCACTATGGAGGGCTTTTCACTCATGTTCTGTTGTGTCTGAGGGACAGGAAGTAAAAGTAAATCTCCCCAGTGGGACACAGATGGCAAGAAAGCCCTCACAATGGATTTCATCATTCTCCATTCTATTCTTTCTCACAGTACAGATCTCCTTCATTCGCTGCACAGGCTGAAGGCTGCTGACACCCTGCCCAGTAATAGAATCGAAAGCCCTTTTAGCTACCTAAGCCACACTTTGCACACGCACAGCATGGGATGTCTGATCTGTCATCACTTTCTTTTGTCCTTAACATGATTGCAGAGTTCAGATTGTGATTTTTCAGCATTATTCATAGGAATATACTGTATGACCTAACTGGTAAAGATCCAGCTCACCTGTTATCCTGCTCGTGTAGGGCCATGTTCAGCACGGTTTGCATTATTTGATATGCTTCTGGCTAAAATTTCCTCATAATTCAGCCTTCTAGCTGTTCTTGACATATTAGCTCCAGTTTACTCTTGTGCTGCCTACTTTTTCTGGAGCGCTTCTCCACATCCCAACAAAAACCAACCCTTCAAGTATCTAAATGCTCCCCCAAAAGTATATAACGGCATAGGGATGCACCGATACCAGTATCGGTGTCAATACCAACGTACCTACCCAAATGATCTGGTGCCTTCCCCGATACTGGAACTTCCGGTCAGAGGGAGATTTCCTCTGACCGGCAGTGCCGCGAGGGAACATGGAGCCGGCTTGCAGGCCAATCAGGGAGGCGGGTGATGACTCGCCACACAGCTTCCTGCTGTTTGGCTGGCTCAATGCTGATTGGCCGGGAAGTTGCCCGGCTTCCTGATTGCCCAGGAAGCTGGTTCCATGCTAGCGGAAGTACCGGTATCTGTACTCGGTATTGGCAAGTTCCGAAAGATAAATATCGGTACTCGATACCGAAAAACTGGCATCAGTGCATCCCTAGGCATTTCCATTGCAACAGATGGATTTCTCCTTAACTACTGCTTCTACTACACCAATAGTGTGGGCACTTGATTACCTAATGCATCATCACCACCACTTATTACTATTGTTTCTTGCAGTGGTGTAGGTTATAATGTGATTGCTATAGCCCTTGTACTGTATGTGCTCAATTTGTACAGCACTGCAGAAGAGGTTGGTGCCATGTAAGGGCACATTCACATCTCCGTGTTGTAGCAAAGCACCGTAGAATGTACTTCAACACAATGCAAGGTAATGCGTGCACTGTGGTATATTGCTGTGCTGTACATTGTGGTGAGCTGCATTTTAAAACATTTCTGTGTTTCAGTCCATTAAACTGCGCTTTAATGAATAGAGGCAGCGAAGAAGTAACAATTCTTTCTGTGGTCTGAAAGTTTTGAATTGCAGCCAAGATGTAATACCAAGAATTTAAAAAGATTATTCATAACACTATGTTTAGTTGTTAATCTAAGCATCTATTTTTGTTTTAATCCACTTACAATGATCATCTAAAAATACATCTGTTTGTAGTGTAAACATCAGAAATCCATAGAATAGTATCAGTTCTCTGTAAAATGTTGAGCATGGATTAAATGAGCTTTCACTTTTTAGCAAACACTGACCCGGGAACACGGGATTCCATGAACACTAGAGACATCTTATTTAATAGAAGCCCCATTGCAGTGAGAGCTGATATTGCAGATCATGTGAGCACTGCTAATTTAAATTAAAAAATTTAGGGCAAACAACTTAAAAGTAGACTGTGCATGGGGTTCAAGGTCCGCTTTTCAAATGTGCCGCTCCCCTTGATGAAATGATGGATAATACCTAAAAAAAAGACATGTTGGGGGACAAATGTTAGATAACATACCAACTTTTCTCGTGGCTTTCTTAGTACAGGTGGTGATGTCATCATCCTGGTGATGAGATTCCAGATGATGCTGAGTACTACAGATTTTGCAAGAAGACACTGCAGCACAGTGCAGCATCTTCTGCTCGGTGAGATTTGGGACACTCAACTTTTGATTTGTACTGTAATTGTAATGCCTTCCTTATATTGTAAAGCACTGCACAAACTGTTGGCGCTAAATCCTGTATAATAATAGTATCCTGGGATCTCACCAGAAGGTGGATGACATCAGCCTCGCTTAGGCGCCACAGGCTAACTATATTATCCATCTTTTATTCCCCCAACAGGTGTTTTCTTTTAAGTTTTATCCAGCATTGCTGGCGGGGGCACATTTGACTTTTTAGGTGCAAGGTCTGCTTGTTTACGTCCGGTAAGGCGAAACTCCAGCAAACAAATGTAGTGGAAATAAATGTGTTTAACGAGCCAAGGGATTTTTAATTTTGTATGTACACTACCACCCTGCATGGTAGATCTCTCTAATTTTTCCTGACGTGGCCCTACTGCTTCCTGGATAAGTTCCCTGCTAATTGTCCCATAGGGATACTAATTTGTAAACTGGAGGCAAAATGTGAATAGAAAGCTCCATTGCTGGACCAGCAGATAGAAGTGTTCCCTGGTTGCGTAGTGCAGCAGATCTGTGGTGTGGCAGAACAGAATTACAAATCTTTGGCAGGTAAAACAGTAAACAGATAAAATATATTTATTTGTCAGGAGTTCCATGCAAGTCATGATAGAAATATGTGCGTTAGCATTAATGTCCTCCTTTTAAAAGGCTGCCATATTGGTCCTGTAACCCCAGTTCATCAAATCAGTGTGTAAAAAACAGTGGGATATTACAATTACTGCTGTTATTTATTAAGAAAATGGGGATGGAGGGGTAGTATTATTAATATTATACAGGATTTATATAGCGCTGACAGTTTGCGCAGCGCTTTACAATATAAGGAAGACATTACAGTTACAATACAAGATGGTAAGGTATCTCTCTTTTACTAAGCCTCTGATCTATTTAGTTTAAAGTTAAAAAAAAACCCTTTAAAAGATATTTGATCATATTGTACCCATAGTTTTGTGAATCTTTTTATAGAGTTTATGATGGGGTGTTTCTGCTACACATTTCTATATTGGGACTCCTTAGGTCTGACCCAGAATGATGTCAATAAGTCTCATACCCAGTCGATTATCACTAAATGCTGCCGTACAAAAGTCTTCAAAAAGGTTGATACCAAGTCTGAATCAGGTACTTATACTAGTTGCATCTAAAATACATTTAATATTTTTTTTACAAACACATAACTGCATTTATTGGTGTGTGTTTTTTATATCTGACTTAAGTTCAACATCAAAGCTCTTTTAACCAGTTGACATCCGCGGTGTTAAACCCCCTTCCCATCCAGGCCATTTTTCAGTATTCAGCGCTGCGGTACTTTAACTGACAAAGCTTTGTAGTGCTCAGTATCCAGTCAATGAATCTGGAGACTCTGGTGTATACCCCATATCTGTCTTTCTGTGCACACTTGTCTCCCCAGCTTGTAATCCCTGTAAGAAACCAAGTATTTCTGAATTCAGTTGCATGGGGACCACCACTGTCTCCCTGGCATGCATCCTTTTCTTCATCAGAAAAGCCAGCACAGAACATACTTGTGGTCACAGAGTACCGGCTTGACTTTTTGCAAGCGGCACGATCAACGTACGGCACAGCCAGCTTTTGCAGTTTTACTGTTGGTCTTCCTTGGTATCTGACATTACCCCAGCCAGTCACCCAGCTATGCGGTATAATCTTCAGCAGTTTGTCCGTGAAGTCTTTGTGTCCAATGCAGATAGGCCTGACATAGTTATTCAAAACCATTCGCTTTTGTAGCTGAATGAGAGCAATGTCATTGTTGTATTTATTCTTGCTGGTATTGTAAGCTGGGTGGTTGATGATTTTGGCCACTTCCAAATACTGCTCGGTCCCCTCTTTAAGAGCGGTGTTATGTTCTCCTGTTGATCATAAAATAACATAAATTGTAAAAGAAATGTATAAACAGAAAAGCATTTGGCTTGTCATCCTCTCTGATCATGTGTCCTTTGCTAAAGTACTTTATTATAGATAGTAGGACAGCAGTTTTTTTATCTCTAAAAATGTAAAGCAACACCTTGCTTTTTTAGTGTTTACATAAAGTATAAAATATTCAGCTTATAATCAACTCACTTGTGTGTAATTAGTGATCAAAAACTGCGGTCTAGTCTCTTCCCCAGGGATCTACTTATTTCCAATTGGGCATGGCCATCCTGCCTCTCATATAGGCCAGTAAAGGTAAAGCTATGGTGCTAATTACAGCCTACATGACACCTTACCCTTCCTGTGTCAGTAATGTGTCCCTGCTCTCTGCATATGTCATTGGCCAGAGGGAGTAGTTGGAGATCAAAAGGCCTTACCTATTGACTTGACAAAAGCTCAAAATTGTAATACCAGTAACAGTACTGTTAAGTCTGCACAGTTCTGGGATAGATGTGTGCCTTGCAGATGGAGCTGTTTGGATGAATGGGTATCTTTACATGACTGTGCAATGAAAAGATTTGCAAACAGGATCGTGGAAGCTTTTCAATGATTGGCTCTTCTTGATCTAATTTGTTTTTCCTTTCAATTCCTCTCTTCTATTACTAAACCTTCAAGCAACATTGAAGAAAATAAATCATAAGATCATACAGAAGACATGGAAACAAACAACTAACAAACCAGAACAGCACATGTCTGAAGGCTCTCATTTATCCATGTCATTGTAGTTAGTCACATTCAACTAGGCTTGTTTAGTAATGATAAAGACATTTTGCTATTAAATTGAAATAACTTCTTCAGTTCTAATAATTGTCAATATACCATCATAAATACTGCAAAAGCTGAAGAAGCTACTTGGATATCTTTAACATTAGAGTGGAAGTTCAGTTGATTACCTACTACTAGGTGCCACAAAACAAAACATTCTTGCTGTATTCATGGTTTACACATCTTTCCTAAACCATACTTTATATTTTATCTTTTATTATCTTATATTTATTAATTTAGTTAAAAACCAGGAGCTATAAGCTAAAAGAAATCAGACTTACCTGCCACTACGGTAAAGTTGTCAGGTGTAAGCTGTATTAAGCAGTGGGCCGCAGTTACAATCCATTGTTCATTCACTATGGATCCACCACAGAAACCTTGTTGATTCTTATTAATAAAGTGAACCTAGGGAATAAGAAATACTGCTTGATGTGTGAACATAACCATGACTGAGACTAAACATGCCTCATTTCGCTTCCTTTATCTTCTGACTTTGTTGTCAACCCAGTTTGATTTAGACATCTGGACCAAAAATATGTTTAGAAATAATAATAGTAACACAGATTTGTATCCTGTATGATTTAAGTAAAAGGTTTCTGTCTCCTCATGGTGGTTGCCAATGGTACAATAATGCCATACTTGACAGATTCGGTGTATTTGTTCCATGGACTCTAATTTGTTGAAGGTAAAAAAAAGATATTAATCACGCTTCCTTGCCCTAGGCTTCTATCTCAAGAGGTTTTCTTCAATGCTGGGATATTATTTAGTAATGCAAACATGCTACCATGCAGCACCAATCTGCTTTAGGGGCAACTACATTAAGGAAGTATATAGACTGTAATAACTGGCTTCTCCTTCTGATAATGCTAGTTGCCTTGCTGTCAAAGCGATCCATTAGATTCAGTATTTTTGCGCTAACTTGCCTGAAACAAGTATGCAAATTTGGAGTGTGGTCTTCATTCTATCTTTATGTTTCCTCTAGATCAGTGACCTGGAAAGTACTGAAACCCATAGATAAGCATGACAGCCAAGCAACAATCATTAGCAGCCTCTGTATTTCTCTCAGTTGAGGGTTTCTTTAAACCAAATCTGCCACATGAAGCATGATCATAATGTTCTAATGCAATGTAATTCAATGCAGAACACACTTAAAAGCAATTTCTGAGTAATCTGTAATAATTATCTGTGATAATGACTTTGGCTTTATTTAAATCTCTGACTATTTAAACGAAAGCTGTTCTCAGCACTTTTCTGTATTTAGACGCTGCAGGCAGTTATTAAAAATATCTACTCCCTGGGTAAATGTAATAGTACATTGTAACATTCATTCATACATTAAGGGGCTTGGCTGAAACCTGCTACTATATTTATATATAAGAGAAAAAAATGGATCAGAGCACCACAACAAAAATCAACCTCTCATAAACTATGACTTATAAAAATTCCAAATGTAACAAATATATAAATAAACACTCACATAATATCTAACATTATAGAAACATAGGCAATACAGCACACCCATATTTCCCCCCTTATAACAAACTGAACAAGTTTGTTCACACTTGCACACACCCACATGCTCACTCTGACACTAGGGATCTCCTCCCCACGCCATCACCTTTTGTGCCCCCTGTGTTGAGAAGACAGCCTTGTGCAATGAAGGAGTATTTGGATTTGGGCAAACTGCAATGGATATGGACAAAGATGTGATCATATATGATGATGAAGTGCTGGTTGATTCACAGATAGTGATTACTTGGGGGAAATAAGGGATACAACTGAAAATGTTGCTTGCAATTCTATGCCACATTCTTGCTGACTTTGCTTATACTTTGCAGGGCTTTTGCTGTTTCTCTGTTTCTCTATGACTGACTCGTGTGTTTGCAGTGTCTTTGACCATTAACAGGTTGGACACAACCATTCATGTCACTGCTTTTTTTCATCTGCTTCCATTTTCTTAGGCCCTGCTTAATATATCCATAGTGTCAGCAGAGGGTGGGCATGCCTAGTCCCTATTATCTGCGTATGTGCGTGCGTGTGTGTAGACAGTGTTGTTCTACTTTTAACATAGGGGGGAAATAGGGTATGCTATATAACCTATTTTTCTATGATGTTAGATATTATTATGTGAGTGTTTATGCCATCGGTGGGGAACTGCCGGCCCTCCAGCTGCGATGAAACTACAAATCCTAAGATGCATCTGTCTCTTGGAGTCATGCCTGTGATAATCTTGCAATGCCGCATGGGATTTGTAGTTTCACCAAAGCTGGAGGGCCGGTCGTCCCCCCTCCCTGGTTTATGCATATGCTATATTTAGAACATTTAGAATTCTTATGAGCCATAGTTTGTGAGGATGCGATTCTTGTTGTGGTGCTCTGATATAAAACCTGGTAGTATCTAATTATTCAGCTGCTGCATGCCCATACACTACTTTCTTAGTGACAGATTGACTTTAATACATCAAATAACTTCCTCTAACGTAAAGGTAGAGCAGGAAAGTAACTCATTTCAAATAAATACAAATCGGAATTACAAAATCCAATTCCCCAAATAACTGAAACAGAGAACCCAGTGATTGAGTATAATGTGTTAAATAAATATCCCCTAGCTTTATGCCTTCACTGGTTACTTCTGAAATCAAATGTATAACAAAATCCACAGTAGTTATCTTTGTGCCTATTGCCTAAGATGTCCTACTGCTTGATAAATTACAGTAATGGGCTTCATTTCATTTACATTCACACCACTCTCTCTAAATGATTTATGTAAAAAGTTATTTACAGCTGATTGTTGCAACCAAAGGGACCCTTGTATGATCCAATATTCATGTATCTGGGCTCAATGGCTGAGTATTCATTGCATGTGTGGTGACCATGAGGTGCATGCCTTTGGCATTCGATGCCTTCCATGTTTAACGTGCAGGGCAAGTACAGATCAGCTTTATTTCCTTGCTTATATTTTTTTATTGTGTATGGAAGAATAAATCAGAATTGCATAACTGCCCGTGTCCCTTATGGGGAGATTTCCCCTCTGCTCCAAAGGGCACAGGCCTATTGTAAATTTCAGTAAATTAATTTCTCCTGACAGACGTTCTACCCTCTATCCATAACTACTTAATCATACAATGACTTGTATAACAACTGTACTGTATATTCTATATCTATTTTGAACAAATCTGCAGTAATACTTCCACTAATAAGTAAATCCGGAGCTGTGGTGCCTTTTGCAAAAAGGTTACTTTCTATAAGGAAAAGACATTATACATACCTACAGTATCCAGCAGTGCCGCTATCTGGATTATTCGCTTGATTTCCATCCAAGTGTAAATGGCTGCTGTCTTATTATCTGTCAGCAGCACAAACTAAAAGAGGCTATTTGTGAGCAGAAGATGCAGGCTATGAATTCGCCAAGGATCCGGACTTACATATGATACGGGTCTCGTGAATATAGGACAAGGACAGCGTTGGAGATGTCACCAGTGTCCAACAAATGGATAGCAAAATAGAAGCTCCCACTGTCTATGTAACAGAATTCTCCTTGGTCACTATTAGTTCCCATTGTAATTAAGCAGATTACTACAGAAATATTTCTGACAAGTGTATTACCTTACACACTCAAAGTGACATTGATTGTTTTCACAAAACACAAAACAAAAAAACTCTATTAGCTGCAAGAACTAGAGAAATAAACATTTCCAATAGTCCAAATATGAGTATAACGCGGTACAGTTATACTGATATTAACACCATTGATTGTGCTGACCCAGGTAGCCAAAAACAGTGCATACTGCAGAAGGAAATATACCTGGGTCAATCCCAGATTGAGAGCCAGGCAAATGGCAATTTTGATCATGGGGGGTTTGAACAAAATGGTCCCATAATCTGCAATAAGAAAGATCAAATTCTAAAATTATGATTACAGGCCAAGCCCAGACAAATAGCCAAACACATACTGTAGCTGAAACGAGTATGAAATTATTTATTGCCAAATATTATGTGAAACAATGGACTCCTTGATCTGAGTCGTATATCCTGTTGTGTTATATGACAAGGAAAGCAGAAAGAGGGAGTTTAGTTTTTTTTATAATCTGCAGTTCAACAGAATATCCTACTTCCATCTTGGAAATTCTACTACATTGGCAATGCCCAATTTGAGCTCTCTCTCCCTCCTGTAAGCCCACCTAAGTTTCTCTTCCTTCTGCCTATCATCTTGTAGAGCAGCACCTCAGGCTGCAAGCCTCAAATGACTGACTTTTAGAGACTGCTTACTAGTCTGTTGTAAATAGTCTGCTGTTTGCATGACTCCTTACTTCAAGCAGCAAGGCAGAACTTAATGACTAGTCTCTTATTTGATATCTATATCTATAGCTATATATATATCTATAGATATAGATATTGTGGCAGTGCATGGCAATGCCACGGTGTAGTAGGGCACCTTTGGTGCCCAGGACTCTCAGCCAGAGGGGCTGAGAGGTTCCACAATGTGAATACCTTTGGAGAGGAGGAAGTGGCTGTTCAGTTCCTTCCAGGTTTTCCAGACTATAGTGGCATAAAATCTCCAGTCCTGGGGCCAGGTGTTGCCAGTTGTCAGATTGGGCTGAACAGGTGGCTGAGAGCAGCCTTATTAGGAAGCCAGCACAGTGCTTTAGAGGAGAGTTGTGGGTGTGCAAGAGGCACACGACGACAGCCAGACTCTGCTGCGTGCGTGAGCACAAGGGACACAACCAGGAAGGCTGGAGAGGTCCAGAGGGTTGGTGACCCTGAGATACCTGTTGGGGAGACAGAGAGGGACAGTGACCCACTAGGGGTGGATACTGAACCGCTTGGAGCTGAGGAAAGCTGGTGAGCAGTGCTGAGGACTGTATTCACAGAGAAATATGGTAAAGTCCTGGGACTATCACACAGGGAGTGTATTGGACAGACAGATGTCGGTGAGACCAACCACAATGTCTTGATGAGACTCCTGAATGAACTGTTATGCTTAATTTATGCTGAATAAAGACTGTCCTTTTATGTTAAAGTCGGCTTCAGGAGTGGTCCCTTAGCGCTTACCATTGTGCTATATTCTCCAAACTATCACAATATCTATATATCTATATATTTCAATAGAATATTTTGCAGTTTGCGTTGAAGTGGGCAACCAGTTTGCATATTCTTTTCCCATACCTTGCAAATGATTGACACATTTGTGTCAGCATATTCTCTCTGATGTTGTTTGTGCCAGTGGTGTTTTTTTCCTGTGATGTCATTTGAACCCAGTGCTCTAGCACAGCGTTTCTCAACTTTTTTTTTCAGTCACGGCACCTTTTAAAAGTATGCAAAAGCTCAATGCACGCCAGTCTAAAAAATTAAATATAACAATGTAAAAACATCTGGTCCCCAAAATCAATACCAGACCCTTATCCTAGACAGGGTTTTAAGGTGGGACCCCAGGAAAAGAAACAAAAAAAGCTACATGGAGTCCTCCCCCTTTCACATTAGAGTCCCCTCCCTTCACATCAGAAGCCCTCCTTTAGCAAAAATTAAAAGGCATCCTAGACAATGGCAGAAGGCACCCCAGGCTATGTTGTGGAAGGCTGTTCTATCAGTATTCCCGTGCACCTCCCCCATAGCAGCTTTAAGGCCTCATTCACATGAGAAAAGGCTGGCACATACAGCTCCGAGCTGCGTGCACAGCCGTATCCGGCAGCTCCCGGGAAGGACAGGTGCTGCGTGTGATTAGTACACAGCCCCTGTCCTTCTCTATGGGAGTATGCGGCTGTACGCCACCCTAAGCTCACCCGCCCTGCACATCGGTGCGGGTGTCCGTACTCGTACGCTGACAGGATGGATCCTGTCCCCGTCCGTGCTGGGACACCCGCACCCGTACGGACCTGCACTTGGGGTGAGCGTAGTGCGGCGTATGGCCGCGTACTCCCATAGAGAAGGACAGGGGCTGCATACTAATCACACACAGCACCTGTCCTTCCCGGGAGCTGCCCAATATGGCCGTGCACGCAGCTGTATGTGCCGGCCTTTTCTCGTGTGAATGAGGCCTTATTCTCTGGGCCCCTTCTGTAGCACAACAATACTCACACCCTTTCTCTGTGTAGCTGATGAAGATCAGTACATCAGTTTCTATCTGGTCCAGAGATCTCTAATCAGGCAACAGTTGGCTTTTCTTATTAATGGCTGCTAGTGACTAACCCTGACACCTAGGTAGTCAAGCCTAAGCAGTAAATCATGGCAGAGAGAGCTAATGATTTTCTGCAGCTCCATGTTCTAGTCTAACATTAAGATCTGAGTCTCCAGGAACATTTGATTCTAAATGAATATGGCTGCTATTAGGCTGATCTAAATACATAAGTCTCTTCTTCGTGGCAGATTAGCCCAGTCTGCACACATCCACTTTATTTACAACTCGCATTTCTTTGCTTAACTCAGCAGTCTTAACCAAGTGCATTATAATGCTGATTCTTTCAGCAACATTTCTGCTTCTTATTGACCGAAGATGATTATTCATGGGTCTTGAAGCATTGATTACATTTATTGCTTGCTATTTTCAATTACACTGATTTGTTTGGGAGATGTGTGTTAATGCACAAAATGTAATCCTTATGCACCATCTAAATTACAGCTGTGGGGACCACTAAGATCTGCAAATGTTTTGTGTGTATTTGTAGCTACCCACAGTCCAGTGTTGGGTAACCAGTTAGACTTGTGTGGTCTCCAATGTATGCACCAATTCCTATTTCTTGTAGAGCCATCCATGGTAGATTTAACATTACTTTTCAATATTAAATTGTCTTTTAACCTTCAGAGGATTTTGGCTACTAGTGTGTATATTCTGTTTTAATTGTTATCCACCCTTGCTAAATACGAGTGCTAAAAATAAAGTACATTGACATTTAAGTGTGTATTGAGGTCTTGTCAAGGGGGCAGGTGATGGCCACATATAGCAGTTTAGATGCCAGCTTAATACCACTTCCATGGACATGCATAATGTTTATGTACATAGCTGACAACTGCCACCTCGCACTTATGTTAGGGAAGCAATAGATGCTAGGTTTGTTAAGGAAGCAATAGGCACTAATGTTCTATAATAGTCCAGTCTTTAAACACTTTAACAACAGCTGCTCTTGAACATTTAACGGATTCTGCTGTTTTGCTGATACTCGCTCCATGGCTCCGAGCGCCAACAATCATCCCACGTAATTGGACTTTTTAAGTCAACAATGCCATATATAAAATGGCAATGGCAACATAATTCATTAGGCTGTACAGAGGAGTTACCTCATCTAAGTTTGTTTGACTTTATATATTTATTTGTGGTTTCTGATATTCTTCTCAGTAACACTTTTACATCATTTGAGTTTCCCATTTGGTCCTTTGCGTAGCCTTTCTTTTGCCTTTAAAAAGAATCAGACAGAAAACACATACAGCTCCCATGATTCAATGCACACATCAGATGAAGTGTGCTGCCATTCAGGAGGGTATTGTGCTGGGGCTGAGCACATTTTTAAGGATGTCAGATCCTGTAAAGCTTATTCGATATTTTCCCCATGTTAGATAAAAATATTGTTTGGCTGCATCTAGCGATAGCAACAGTTCTACAAAAAAAATGTCCTTATTTTTAATGAGGCTGAAGCTCTTAATCGAGGACACAAACAAGATAAATTAAAATACGCCAGCCAGTTGGAATTGAATTGATCCTGCTGATTGCAAATTCCCACCAGAGGGCAGCACAGATTGCTTATCTAGATATCAGTGGAATAGATGTATTCTCTGTTTTGCATACTGTAATGTGTCAACTGAAAGACCAAAACAATTTGTGCAGCTATCCAATGTCCTGCACAAAATGGTTAATTATGTCTTCCTGGGACAAGCTGATCTTTCTTTTTACACCTTATTGCCTTGTACTGTATATATTTCAGGTAATATCAGAACACCGCTGTATGATGAACATCACACAAGACAGCTTTGGGATTGCAGGGAGAGAATGTCCCCACACTGTGTAAATTAGTGCAGTTCTGTCTGGTACTAAGCTTTGTATACAGTTGCTGGACGATTTTGCAAATTTACAAGCCTATTTTCATAGGATAAATATTACTTTTCACTAGCGCTTCATACATTGCACTGTAAATTACATGCTATAGACTGCAACACATTGTAGAAGTTGTCGGTGGAAGACGTTGCTGTTCCTGGCTGCTCTGCGGTCCCTTCAGTTAGGGGGATTGCACCATTTCTCTTGCAGGACTGTCTGGGCCCACTATGGAGGACCGACCTCCTTCCCCGGCTTGGGGATGGAAGGAACGGCTTGACGTACTGGTTGCTACTCTGGACTTCGGGGGAGGAAAGCCCCTGGAGAGGAGCCTATCCTTGGCCGAGCACCAGGCCTGGTCCCGGAGGGTCCGTGGGCAGGTTGCCCAATTGGAGGAATTAGCGGAAGGCATCAACGGCAAGATCCTGGAATGGAAGAGGGGAATTGGTAAACCCCATGCAGTCCCGGCAGCTGAGATACTGCTGTTGTCCGGGGTACTGTTGGAATGCAGGGAGCTTTTGCAGGAAGGCCGTCAATGCCTGGACCGATGCCCTCCATCGCTGGAGGCAGAAGGCTCCCAGGAGATGATCCCGGATACCCTGTCTGAAGGTACGGGCCCCACTAAATCCCCCATTCCTATGCTGAGGCAGCCAAGGGGCGAGGGATGGAGGAGAGGGCTTTTCAGGAACTGCCTACAGAGAGTCTCTTGGAAGTCCTGAAAGCTCTGAAGGAGAAGCATGCGAATTATGATGCCATCCTATGTCATTTGCAAGACAGTTTAAAGGAATGAAGGGCTGTATCGAACAAGACCTCTAATCATAAAAGAGGACCAATAAGGAAGAAGATTGTGGAGAAAAGGAATGAAGAACAAGAATTTATCAGTACAATGTGTTCTGTTAAAAGTCACATTTCTGAAATACAGTTTGTACTACATCGCTACATTCTTAGGACCACTACAATTCATGTGTGCCACTCTACAGTTCTACTCCAAACGTATGTAACATAGTACTGCACTCTGCACATCCTGCTGTGCGCAATAAACTCTATAGCACTAGACATGCAGGTATAAATCTTTTAGAACTATGGGATTCCACCTCATTCAGGAACACGGTTATGCTTCAGGGAACAGTTAAGCTAGTTTATATATAAGGAAAAGAGCAATCGGGACTGTGCAATAAGACAAAGCACAGAAAACAACTAAAGCTAATAAGAACATATGGTCGCTCAAGCTTAAAGCCAAACTCTGGGCACCAGAAAAAACACCCCTGCAGTACCTTGCCCCCACACTGCAAGAGTTTAATGCTTGTTAAGTCAGAAGGGAGAGGTGAAGAGGCTGTATTACTTGCTGTAACCCTCACTCTGGCAAGCTCCAGCACTCTCCTCTCCAATGCATCAGGCTGTGGGCAGCCCCTCAGTTCATTGTATGTAGAGAAGGCAGGCATACGACCCTGGCTGGGAGCACCTTAGAGAGAAGGTTTTGGAGGACAAGTTGGAGGGAGGAGTATTAATCTTTATCCCTCTGCCCCCAGAGTTAATGTGCATTTAACACTTGCAGTGTGTATGTGTGTTTGGGGGGGGGAGATGAGGGGGGGGGGGGTGGGGGTGTCCCACTGCAAGGGAAGTTTGCTTCTGTGACCTGAATGTTGCCATTTAGCTGCACAGAACCGGCAAGGAAACTACCTTGGTGCCACCTTCATATTTTATATACCGGCATTTTCCAAATTCTGCTCCAATGTTTTTACACTTGAAATGTTTGGTAATCACTACCATTTTAACCGATCATACAAATGATTTAGTTATCATTATAGGAAGAGATCTAGAGGTCACCCATTGTGTTAGGTTTGTTATCAGCCACCTGCCATGCCACTAGGAGCCAATCAGGTTTTGCTGCAGAGTGAGCAGAGTTGATGACTGAGTTATTAGACTTACTGATCAGTGTGTTGCTTCACTTTCACTGTCTAGTCAACAGGCTGCAGGCAGGGTGATGATCTGGCTATATTCCTTAATTATAATGGAGAAAGTGCTATCACCCACTTATTGCCGTAACTCCAGCGTTTAACTTACCTGCCATGGAAATTCACCCTTCAGACTGTCTGTCCCACCAACAATCCTGACATTTGGATCCACTGTTATTGGCACAATATCATCTGAATGGTCATGCAAGTGTGCGTGTTCAGTAGAGTTCTGATGTTCAATGGAAGAAGTATTATTACTTGTATACTCTTCAAGATCCAGCATGGTACGGGTTTCATCTTTTGGAACTGCTTCTGGTGCACTAACTCTTCCACATGGATATTGCACTGTTAAAGGAGGCAACCATGGTGATTTCATGTGTAATATACTGTACATAGGCATGTGTCACTGAGAAAAAATGGTAGGGAGAGGTCTGTTTATCCTTCCATGAACTGTCTAAGACTTGCTTTTTTTTTCTGTGTGGGGAAGTTGTATGATAAACTAGCCATAAGCATATCTCCCAACTTTCTGAAAAAGAGAGACACTTTCTAGTATCCCTGCCACACCCTAGTTAAGTAGGCAAGTACAAATGTATATGCCAAATATTATTGGTTAAACCAAGAATTTTTTTTTTTTTTTTCACCATTACTTTCCCTTTATACTGGCTGTTTGAAATGGAAAATAAGATAATTATGACATAGGATGATGGTTTTAGTGCAGAATAACACTTTTGGTAGTTATATAGAACCATTTCATAAATATCTGTACATCAGACCAAAAAAAGAGGGGCAACCGAGGAGGAAAAAGGGACAGAGGGATTTGTTATTCACTGCATCCGAATCGGGGATACTGATGTATGCTGCTACTGCTGCATGCATTAGCCACCCAGATATAGTGATCTCTAGCTTAAGCTCTATCCACTTTTTGTTTATGCTGTAGGAAAACTACTTTTCTCTGTAGTTTATAGTGCTCACCTGTTAAGTACCAGTACAATATTGTTTTGTTCTATGACACTGAACTTGGCAATATGACGATGAAGTTTCCTGGTAAAGATGAAATGGGGGCTTTGATTGCAGTTAGCGCTAATTACCAGTACCTTCCACCTCTTTCTGTTTAGTTTTGCCAGAAGTGGTCAGTGAATGGCAGGAACATACACAGTATGCTTCTTTTTGGTGTTCAAGTGCAAGCCGTTCATACAAAGGACAAGCCTCTTAGACATTAACAAATGATGAATGCTGAATGCTGACCTCCCCTTAAGAAAATGTAATTAAAAGTTCCAAGCCCATACAGTATGATTAAGAAGGCCTTGTGTGTGCCATTCTCTACTCCAAGAAGCACGATCCGCTGAAAAAATGTTAGTCTGGCTAATAGCACTTTACCCCAGCGAGTTGCCAATTTTGTCTGCTTCTGATCTATCTTTTGGGATTAACTGGTATTGAATAATGAGGGTCTAATGTCTATAGGTAGATTCACAGCATGTGCAGATTTACAGTTCACATCTACAGCTGTTTGAACAATCTCATTATAAATAAAATGTTTATAAACATATCGTATTTACCTATCTCCTCACACGACTGCCCATCTGCTTTCAATTTGTATCCAGACGCGCAGGAGCATGTCACTTTTTTCTCAGCATTTTCCCTGCACATTTGCTGACACCGGCCATTGTTTATGGTACACGTAACTGGCAATGCTGCAGAAAGTTTAAATTATGTTTTATTGTAAAGAAATGTGTGTACAACGATAAAGGAAAACATATGTTCTTAAAGTGACATTAAACCCTCAGATTTTTTAACATAAACCAATACTGTAATGTGTGCCTTACTGTAATCCATGGTTGTTTCCCTTCTCTTTGCTGCTCTTCCTTTTAAATCCTCATGTCTTCTCATGCTTGGGGAGAACTTCCCTTTTCAGCTCAGGGCCTCTTCCTGTAGTGCTGTTTCAGGTTACAAGCCTATACAAACGTATACACAGACACCGTGTATCCATTCCTGAGACAAGGCAGTCTGCTGCAAAACAGAAGTTCTGCAGAGCATGAGAACAGATACAGATTTAAAAGGAAGAGCAGGAAAGAGAAGGGAAACAACCATGGATTACAGTAAGGCACACATTACAGTATTGGTTTATGTTAAAAAATCTGAGGGTTTAATGTCACTTTAATAGACATTGTAGGGAAATGGTAGGAAAATAGTAAGCAACATTACTATTACAACATTACTATACATTGATTGTATTGAAATGATGGCCGAATAGTTTACTTTACCTGAATTATAAATACATTTTGAAACTCCAGACACGATTTACACTCGGTCATGTATGAATTGATATTTATTTATCTGACTTTAGTTCATACAGTCTCAAGGCCTGATTCACACCAAGGCGGCACCGTTTTTGTGCGTTTCTACGTCCATTAGCAGCATGCGGGTATTTGTGCGTTTATGAGCGTTATGCACATTTTTTTTAATGCGCGTTTTAACATGCGTACACAAAGACACACATTTTGACTGGCAGCTCATAAAACATTGTGGGCAATGGAAGAACGCGCGTTTAAACACGCATAAACACTCACGAAAATGTGCAACATGCTTCTGCCGCGCATTTGTGGGCATTTCCAATGGAGTCTACGGGGCAAAAAAGCACTTTAAACTACCCAAAGAAGCTCATGTATCTCTTTGGCCGTTTTGCGTTTTCTTGCTGGCGTTTTTCTACTCGGATGTGAACCTGGGCCCTTGAAAATCATGGGATTTCTTGTGTTGGGCATTTTGAACTGCTCAAAAGCTCCTAGGTGTGAACCAGGCCTAAGGGTTTAGGCTTCTGCAACAGCCATGAAAAAAATGATGGCAAGAGGGTGAGACTTAAAGCAGATCTCCGGCCAAACTTAACAAGATAAAGATGAATAGTCCATTAAAATATAAAATAAGAAAGCCAGCTTTTGCTGCAATACTCCCCTTCAATCTATTTCCCTGCAGTACTTTTTTCTGTCACTAGTCCTATGAGCCCAGATCGTCCTGGACCTGTGACTGCACAGTGAAAGGAGAAGAAGCACAGTGATGAGCTTATCTCTATGTCACTCTGCTTTCTTTTCCTATTAGCATTGTTCTTGTCAGTACATGAACTGATTGACTCTTTGTTCTGCTACTTTCTCAGTCTGAGCCCTGCTGCACTGGGATATATATGCTGCTTGCATTAAAGAAAAACAATTAACAATGTATTTATGATTACAAAACTGCGTTAATTTGTGTCTTTTTATATCTACCTAAATTCAGCTTTATTAGTAGCAGAACTCTGGCATTATAATGAATTTTGTTTATATTGTACGCATGCCAGGAGTCTTTTTCTATCATAATAGTCAGGAGCAGCCATGGTGATAATGTATAGTGGTGTTCACACAATACCTGGATCATGTGTCTGCAGCAGTCCTTTGTATTGAAAGAACAGGATGGAAGTGGCACTTCAAACATGATAGTGAATATCCTTAAGGCAGACCTTCAGCAAATCAAATCTCTGCATTTTTATTAGATGATCTCAATATATGCCCTACCCTACTCTTGTACCTGGAAGCATCTTCCTGAAGTCCATTTCAACAGAAATCATGATGATGGTACCAGTGGCGGACCTAATAACCAAAGGGCCCTGGGGCAAGATTTTATCTTGGGCCCCCCTCCCAAGACAGGCGAAGGGGCAAAGGAGCGGATCACACTGGCCCCCTCCCCCCAGCGGTCTCTAATGTTGCAGTAGCGTGCTGGACTCCGGACTTACCTGAGACCCTGCAGAGCACACCATAGATGCTGCATAGCCCATCTGAGACTCTCTATGGTGGGCTCTGCAGGGTCACAGGTGGGCTGGCCGTCGGGGTCCCTTTCCCTGTACCTCCTCCCAACTCTTCTTGCCTGCTGCTGCTGGGGCCCGGCCTCCTCCACCCCCTCCCCTGTCACCTCTGCCATGCCGCCCCTTGTACAGCTGATACCCATGTCAAAGGCCCCACAGACCCCTCACATGGGTACCGGCCATACCCCCCTGATGGCGGTGTTCTATCAAAGTTTGTGACTACGTTGGAATATGTGACCGGTGAAAACAGCTGATCGGTCCTGAAATGTCACTTCTCTGCGATCTCACATTCCACCCCATTTACAAAGTCGGATAGAAGTGACATTCCAGGACCTATCAGCTGTTCCAGGGCAGATCGGTTCTCCTGCACATGCACTTTGCGATGCCGGTCTGCCCTGAAACAGCCGAGAAAGTGTTGGAATGCTTGACCTATTGGCGGCAACACATTCCACTGACGAAAAACTGGGCGGGATTACGTTAAAATGTGTGACCACGTCACCGGTCACACATTCTAACGTAGTTACAAACTTTGATAGAACAGAGGCCCTGTTTGTAATCATTTAATCAGAGAAATAGATTATAATAGGGAACATTACAGTGTAATGTTCCCCAATTATAATCCAATTTCCTAATGAAATAAAATAAAAGCACACAACCCTTGCCCTCCCCTCCCCCCCTCTCGGACTCACCCAGCCAGAGCATCACAGGATCGCAGCCAGAAGGTGTCGGTGTGTGCACTGCAGGGGGCGGGGCATGTGACACACACACTTCTCCTCTCTCGCCGCCTGTTACTAGGGGCGCGGCCGGGAGAGGAGGTGAGTCACAGGACCCACCCCCTTACTGAGAAGCCCATCGGCAGTGCGGGGCCCCGGACCCTGCACTGCCCCATATTCCACTGGGGGCGGGGGGATGGTGCGCCCAGGACCGGACCCCACTGGGCCCCCACCACAGCCTCAGGCCCCAGTGTGGCCACCACTGGATGGTACCAATCCATCTAATGGGTGCCTACAGGAATAATGGCTGCTAAAGTTGTTCTTCCTTAATCACCTCTGCCTAGACTGTCTGGATCAGCCTTTCTCAACCTTTTGTTTTTACCACAGAGGAAGCTTTGAAATAATTTGTGGGTGCCAGGGAACCCCCAGAGCGCATTAAACCTTTAAATGATCAGCAAGTTTTTAGAAAATTTTAAATAAAAAAATAAACAAGGAACACACAGTGTTTTGACACCTGGGGAGGAACTTTTTTATACCATCCTTTTCTATATGACAAATTATTTTCAATAAAAATGTAAATAAATAATTGCCACAAAAGAAACAACCAGTGAATATTGTAATGGTTTGTAGAGAAAAGTGCCCATTACATAGCTTGTGTAGATAGGAAATCAATCCACTGCTGCTCACTGCTGTTGCCCTAGGAACTTCTGGAGGAACCCTAGTAGAGAAAGTCTGGTCTAGAAAGTACTACATACAAGATTTGAGAGTCTCACCTATTCTTTTGCTATAAGCAGCTCTGTAAGTGAGATTTATAACATATGGGTGATGAAACTAATCTATTTTTTCATTCATCCCACGGGCTGAGCAATAAAAATAGACCCGATTCCTCCATCAACACTAACAGCGAGTCGATCGAAGAATCCCGCTGTTTACATTGTATTCTGACAAGAGCCGCCGGCCCCTGTCAGAATACGACCAGAGCAGACAGTTCACTGGCTGCCGGTTCTAATCGATCGAAGATTTTCCAACCGGCTCATTCAATCAGCTGATTGAGGGATGCCGATCGAAAGGGAGCCGACAGCGGCACACTCTGCAAATTTCGGCTGGTTCCTAAAAAAAAAAACGACGAAATCTGAACAGTGTATGGGCACCTTAATGGCCTCTGTTTCTTTACAGTAAAGTCCAAGCTCTATGTGCAGGTTACAGAACAGAGGATTAATACACAGGAAGCAGAAAAGATGTCAAGGTTAATATATTGCACATGCTCTTAAAGGGTTAGTTCATCCAGCACTGCTTTCCACTTCCCACTTGTGTTTTTAAACATATTTGCGTAGGATGAGTTCCTGAAATTCTTATTTAATGTATATTTGCCTTCATACACAGGCATACTTTTTAAAACAAATGTCATTAAGATGCCCATAACAATACATTAAATGCTTATGTAATTTTTTTTATGCAATAGTGAAGGGAAAGCTAGTATCTGTTTGCAATGCCAACAAAAGACACTTTCATCTAATCAGTCGCTAATTTTAAAAGTATTAACTTTTAAAGGGAGGCATTGGGAGAAATGACTTTAATGACTGTTGAAAATAAACATAATTATTCAGTTTCTCTTGTTCCATGTTTATAATGAGCCTGGTCTCTCAATGTAAATACAGGTGGGTAGAACATACCAAATTCACAGTTCTTTCCTCTGTATCCTTGCGCACACCAACATACGTAGGCACTTATATCGTCTTTGCAAACTCCTCCATTTAAACATGGGTTGGATACACATTGGTCTCCATCTAAACAAATAAGCAAATCAATAAAAAATGCATAAAAAAGGATTATTGTTTTCATCACATCTCTGTAACAAATAACACAGCTTTTGTTGAATTCTTTATGTCCAAAATAGTGTATAACTAATGTTTTCTTGGGGAAGACCAATGTATTTTAAAGGGACCCTCAAGCAGGAAGGGTCGGGCCCTTTGCATTAGAATTTACAAATGTCAGCATCAATACGTAAGAGATCAAATAATGAAAGCTGCCATGGCTGTGCAACCTTTTGGACCTCTATCCCTATCCTTGCTTCAATGCTTGGTGAGTTACTTGTCCTGGCTGTATGCTTGTTCCATGTCAGTCAATCACTTGGTAGTAAAACAAGGTTTAGGACAATTATGCAACTTCAAAAACCAATGGCGGCTCCAGTATTTCAAGCCTGGCAGGTTTTCTACAGTTATGGAACTCAGTGTCATCATTGAACATCCCAAGATCTTCTTGGGTTTGCAAAACCTCAAAGGTACATTTGTCATTCATTCCGATGAAACTAGTCCTACCATGCTTCTTCCGAAAAAGCGAGGGCTATGTACACAATAATATAGTTCTTAGCAACCAATCAGATTTCTCCTTAACTTGAATTACTTTCGATAAACTGAAATCTGGTGGCCATTTGTTACTGTACTTTGCACACTTCCAATGCAATTATTGCTGCCAACATGTGTATAACTGCTGTATACCGTATATTTATTTATATACATGAGCCGTTCAATTTGCATCACATATCAGTACTATTTATGTGGAAACAAAGATGAGGTCGCCAGATTGTAGTTAATGGCCCAGGCAAACCATTCATTTTCACATTTGATGGCTCAACTGAACACTCTGCTGTTTGCAAATCAGTGATTCCAGAGACCATTGTATTTTATGTAGAATAAGAGTACTTATTTCCCAATGCTCCAGTGCTGTTTCTATCAAAATGATTAATTACATGAAGAGTGTTTTTTTGTGTGAACAATGTAATAATACTGTGTTCTCTCATGATATGAGATTTTTGTATTAGTCTCTCGGTTGGCTGTATATATCCCCCTGCATAGCCTGAATAAGCTATGACAGCAGGCACTGCAAGATTTATTTTTATTATAGCTAGGAAACATTTCAGGTAAGAATCATTCAGGTATGGGCTCTGTAAGGAAAACTAATGAAATATTGTTATATTTTAAAGGTGGGTTTTACAGGGGTTTTTTTGTAGATTAGTTATTGATACTTAAGCCTATGCACTAATGGAGACAGCCAGCAACAATATACTTAAACGTACTAGCACATTTCTTCGAAAAATTAACACAGATCCCCCCACTCCTTGCTTCTCTGCAGGGAGAACCGTAACACGTACCTCTGTGTAGAAGTCTATGTCACCTGACTTGGTTGGTTTGGGGCCAGTGTAGTTTGCCTTAGCTCCAGTGGTGTATACAGGGTATGGCACATATGGCACATGACCTTTGCGCCACTTGAATGGGGGGAGGTGCTCCGTGGGTCAACAAAAGTTCGCTGACCCATGGAGACAGCTGACTTTTTGTCTCTGCCCACCTCTCTCTCATACACATCTCCCTGCCTGGCTCTTAGCCACCTGGGAACCTCTGTCTGGCGTCCTGTCCAGCTTCTGGCAACCAGTGCTGTCACTGGTTGCCAGGAGCTGGGGGGATGCCAGGGACACAATCTGTAGTAGATACGCCTCTGCTTGTCTCTCTGTAACACCATTAGTATCCGTTGCTTATGCTTTAATACTTTAATGCAAAGCGCAGTAATCCACAGTATCCAGACCCCAGTTTAATGGCAGAGCATCAAAAGATAGATGTATAAAAGGTTTAAAGTTGGCCTCTAGGCAAATAACTAACCACAGAGCTGAGATAAAATATATTTGGACTGTTTTACCAACCAAAGGATATCTAATTCCATTTGTCAAGTCATGCCCCCCAGACACACTTGCCAGTGTTGCCAGGTCTGTGCCTGTGTTCTTGATTTTCTCTACTACTACTACAATGGCAATTAAGCAAAATATTGTATGGCAAAGGACCCATCCTAGCTTTCTGACTGGACAATGAAGGAGCAGCAGCAGCAGCAGCAGCAGCAGCCAGCTCTGCTCTGCTCTCTTTCCTCCTGTAAGCATGTTCATAATATATGATGTTAAGCATATTCTATAACCATAGTAGGCCTGTACTTGTAAGCAGCAGAGGCAAAGAGGTGACTTTTTTTCCAAAGATAGATATTGATCTCACAATATTTTCCCATCATCAGTAGAAGCAATATCTTATTAGCTTATTCAAACATTCTCACAATATTTTAAACCAGGTTAGGACCAATGAAACAAGAAAATGTTCTGTGTAAAATCCTGCCATAGGTTTGCTACACTGGCTGCCAAAGTGTTTGTGCTGAAAGGTTCTAGTGATGAAAATCTTTCTAGTGGAGGACTGGGTGGTTGGGATTCATTCTCTATAGTTAATGACAGCTGCTGGGGATTATATACAGTAGCATCCTTTTCTGATATATAGGTAGATTAAGTAATAAGTTCAATTGTTACAGGCCATGGAATGATAAGGATTGTAATTTGTGATGATGGCATGATTTTTTTTTCAGTATTTTATTTCAGTGAGTTCATTCCATTCACATTGCAGGAGCAGCCATCTTGACAAGCTCATAAAGTACTTTTCATTTGAAATCTATCAATTACAATTTTTCTTTATTTGCATGAAAATGTGAGTTACAGTAAACCATGTTCTTAAAGACAACATTCACCTTTCACCATGGCCACCAATCACTGCAGCACTGCAATTCTTTGGTCATCAGGAAGCTCTTCCTAGCATGAAATAACCAGTTGGCTGTTTTTGCCCCTCAGGCTAAATGTTTCCAGCCCTCCCCTGAATCCAACCCTGGATGAGGTCTGATGTGCAGTATTCCATAGAACTTTACCAAAGTCATCTTAATTTAAGAAATGGTTTCTTTTGGATAGCTATATACATCACAATTAACCTCAGCACTGTCTTCGGGAATAGGCCCATGAATGAGAGTCATAATTTACACTGTGTTTTTCTTGGTTAGCTTGGCCATCAGTATTCAACAAGGTTTCTCTATATATTTGTTAGGAAACCTTTATCTCATTATAGCAGCAGGGTTCCTGCTGAATACATACATTTGAATTACAATGTCTGGTTCATGAATGCAATTAAAGTTAATAAAATTATATAAATATGAATATATTAGGTAACACATGTAGCTCCTGATATTCACAATAATGAATAAACTGTTTTAGTGTGTCTAAGGTGTTGTAAGGAAATTTATCTTACCAACATACTGCTTCCAAAATTCAATCTAGAAAGCAAAACAAAAGAAAAGTAACAGCATAATACTGAAAATTGAGTAAACTTTAGCATTATATATGTCAGAACAGTTGCAGATCTATTGCCAAGGATGCCCTACTATGGGGTCTGGGGTGATAGAGGGGCCAGTGCAGCTTTTTTGCCTGCTCTGTCCCTTATCACCTCATCCACTGTCCTGTAGAGCAAATTATGCTGTCTGTGCTGCCTGCTTTTTTTATGTAATCATAAATAAAATGTTGTATCACCAAGAAAAAAATGGGAAGACACTCCTGTCTGTCATCTATTGTGACAGGATCTGAAATGCAGCATCTTGAGGCAGCAGCACCCACACAGATTCTTCCTTACCTCTCCTCTGTAAGGAATGGATTGGCCCACTGCACAGACATTTTTATGAAAACATTTTACATAAATGTATTTTTGGCCTTGAACATAGTAATAACAAGAACCTACAGTGGCTCCTCGCTATTGACTCTAACAGGGTTATTCACAAAAGGGTGAAGAGTTTGGGGAAGGCAGGAGAAGTGAACAATTTAGGCCAAAATAACAGATTTAGAAAAATTCTCCAATTCAGCTCACTTTGCAGTTCAGCTATGTTGTCCTAGATTGTTCACTTCTCCTGCATTCTCCAAACTCTTCACCCTGTTGTGAATAACCCTGTAAAAGTGTTGATCCATAAAGTGTTCACCCAGCATATATCTGGGCAGACAACGTTAGTATGGCAAAACCGCCAGTGGATAGAGCCAAGGAACCTAGAAAATTTATATGCCCCTCGGCTCCATCTAGTGGCACAGTGTTCACCCAGATATATGCTGGATGAATGATTTATAAATCGGCTCCTTACATTTCTGATTTTCTCCTGAGGGTAATTTTTTTTAACCCTTAAAAATAGAAAGAGGTTAAAATCCTCTGTAATCTGGGCAACCAGGACAAGCCTGCTTTGTTTCCTTATAAATAGCCAAATGCTTAAAGTGATCCTGTCAGCCATCTCAATGACTCGCATAGTTCTGCCTAAGAACAGGTATGACATGGTGCCTACAAATACCCGTGATATTCTGTGCAGTGTATAGGATCTTATAGGACATAAAAGTATATATACAGAATTAAAGCAAATATACATTGAATGACATTTGAATGTCTGTGTTGTCCATAGCAAGCATTCTGAGTGCAGAAATGAACAGAGGAGTCTCCATGGTCACTTTTTAATTTGTCTGCAGAGTACTACCATTACTGCTCATGTAATAAATGAACACCATGTACCAGAAAATTGCCACACACATGAACAGTATATATTACGTAAGAGTATAATGGCACTGCATAAAGAAGACTATTTATACTCTGCTCTAATGCGTTCCTGTTGCTTTTGTGTCAAAAGACAGAAAAAAACTATTTTCATTAGGTCTGATGCAGCTGTCCTAATTAGATATGCTTTACATCGGATTAGACCCAAGGGCTTAATTGACAACAAATGAAGAAAAAGTACTGCAATTAGCACCAAAATGGATGGGAGACAACATTGTGTACTACACCTATATCACCCATTCTTTTTAAGCTGTCTGAACATAGCTTTCCCAAACCTTTTTGTACAAGGTGTAGAATTAAAGCTGAACTCAAGCCTTCCCTTCAGTCTTGGCCTGATTTCACTGCACTGTGAGTATTGAGCTGGCCATACACCTATAAGTTATCGGCAGATTTTCTATGGTCAGATAGAAAAAATGCAACAGACTCCTCTATCTACGCTATCTCCCACTGGGATGGAGCAATCTCCCACTGGGCCAAGCTTCAGTAACTTGCTAGTCGGCCCGGCTGGCTGTCAAAATATCTGAATAATCTGATTGGATGCAGGCATTGTTCAGATATTTTGAGAGCCAGTGGGGCAGACTAGCAAGATATTGAAGCTTGGGCCAGTGGGAGATTCCTCCATACACACAGTTTAGCGTAGATCAGTGATGGCGAACCTTTTTGAACCCGAGTGCCCAAGCCTTTGCAGTCTCCACAGGCCTCTTCCATCTCCCCCTGTCTCCGCCCCCTGTCTCATGCCGCTTCCTTCCCCGTCTCCTCACGTCCTCTCATCTCTGCCTCGTTCTCACGCCGCTCAGTCCCCCGGCTCCTCCCGTCCTCTCAAATCTCCGCCCCCATCTCCCTCTGTCACCACCCCCTGCCGCTTCGTCCCCCTTCTCCTCCTGCTCGCTCGCCTGCCGATTTCGCCCCGTCGGCTGCCTAATGTTTTGTGGCCTGAACCTGGGCTTGCGTGCCAGCAGAAAGGGCCTCTCGTGCCCTCCCTGGCACGTGTGCCATAGGTTCGCCACCACTGGCGTAGATGGAGAAATCTTTTGCACTTTTTTCCATCTGACCATAGACTGCAGATAAACTATGTATGGCCAGCTTTAGACATTGCAGCAAGTAAGATAGGGCCAACCTAATTTCCTGGCTTGAGGATGTCTGGCATCCTCTAGCCCTGCTGTCCCTGACTCACCTCTTCCATTCATTGGATTTTACTTTTATCATGGAGTCGCTGCATCACTTGTGGGCATTACCTTTGGTAGTCTATATAGAGACTGACATCCACCCACCAACTCTAGCTCAGCATTTCCTAACATTTTTTTAGGTAATGGCTCCCTTTTAGAAGTATGCAAAATCTCAAGCACTCCTTCACATCAGAAGCACCTCTTTACATTAGGAGCTCCCTACACATTAGGAGCTCACCTTTACATCAGAAGGCCTCTCCTTTCACATCAGAGTACTCCCTTCTCACATTAGAAGCCCCCTTTTATATCAGAAGCCAGACCTTTCACATCAGAGTCCCGCTTATCACATTACAAGCCTCCCTTCACATCAGGAGCCCACCTTTTACTTTACATAGTTACATAGTTACATAGTATTTGAGGTTGAATAAAGACATTAGTCCATCAAGTCCAACCTATTAGGATCTCATTCTAGGAGTACCCGTACCCCTGTATATTACGGTCCCTTAAGAAATCGTCCAAAAGTTTCTTGAACAATTCCACATTATTTGCTGAAATCACCGCCTGTGGCAGTGAGTTCCAGACCCTAACTGATCTTACTGTGAAGAACCCCCTTCGCCCCTTGTGCTGGAATTTTTTTTCCACCAATTTTAGGTGATGGCCTCTAGTTTTTGTAATGGAGTTAATTTTAAACAGTTTATCGCTAATGTTGCTACCACCATTAAACATTTTGTACATGGAAATCATATCCCCCCTTAATCTCCTCACCTCTAATGTGAACATGTTTAAATTTAGTAGCCTCGTCTCGTAGCTCTGGTCCTCCATACCCCTAATTAGTTTGGTTGCCCTTCGCTGGACTTTTTCCAACTCAAGGACATCTTTTCTTAGTACTGGTGACCAGAACTGGACCGCGTACTCCAGATGAGGTCGAACCAATGATCTATAAAGTGGCAAAATTATAGACTTGTCCCTGCAATACATCCCCTTTTTAATACAGGACAAGACCCTGCTAGCTTTGTTTACAGCAGCCTGGCACTGCAAACTACCTTTCAGTTTGCGGTCTACAATGACCCCCAAATCCTTCTCCATTTCTGACTTTAGAGTACACCCTTTACATCAGAGCCTTCTTTTCATATCATAGTTCCCCTTTCACACCAGAAGCCCCTATCGCATCAATGTCCTTAGCCCCCTTCTTCACATCATAGTCCTACCATCACATCAGAATCGGCAGCATGGCAGAGGGTGGGAGGATGAGCAGGCCATGGCAGAAATTAACTTCCTTCTTTTTTAGAATGGATCCCACGCTCCCCCGACTACCATCATTTGTTTTCATGGTGCTGGCAGCCAGCCCGCCTGCACCTTGGAAAGGCTTATTCTGTTAGAAACTGTGCCTCAGGGTTCTGTGCTAGGACCCATGCTTTTCAACCTGTTTATTAACGACATCGGGGACGGAGTAAACAGCGATATCTCAGTGTTTGCTGACGATACCAAAAATGGGAGGGTAATAGAAACAGACCAAGATAGTGTAACATTGGAGGATGACCTGGATAAAATAGGGGAATGGGCAACTATGTGGCAGATGAGGTTTAATGTTGATAAATGAAAGTTATGCACTTTGGGATTAAGAATAGGCAAATGGGTTATACAATTATGGGTATGCCACTAGGAAATGGAGAAAGATTTGGGGGTCATTGTAGACCATAAACTGAAGAATAGATTACAGTGCCAGGTTGCTGTAAGCAAAGCTAGTAGAATCTTGTCCTGCATCAAGAAGGGAATGTTTTGCAGGGACAGGTCTATAATTTTGCCACTTTACACATCAATGGTTCGGCCTCACCTTATAGTTCTCCTTTAAGAAAATGGTTTGCCTACATGGAAATGAAAAAGGGGATATATACAAACAGAGGAACTAACATAGAGTTATAAGAAAAGACCTAAGAGATAATATTATGTGATTATAAATTCTGTATGAGAGTTCCAAATGGAATAAACGTTCAAACTGACATTTATTTGTTCTGTGAGTAATCGCCTCACTACAAAAAAAAAGTAGAGCATCCAGGGGAAAGAGTATATGGTTTTAGCTTTTATATAATTGATTGATCTCAAGATCTTTTGAGTTGCTACTAATAAAATACGTTTTTTTTAATGATAATGAATAAATCTGGGATTGCAAGCACTCCCCAGATGATCTATATATATATATAGGATTTGTGAAATAAATATATACATTCTTGCATTGAACATGGATTTAAATATAAAAAGGCTTCCAACTGTTCTGTGTACATAAAAGTCACAAAAGTAATAATTTTAATGTGAAATGCTTTGTTATGTCCCACAAGACTATTTACTAAGAAATTTGTGATTGACAGCTAGGTCACATGATCAGAAAGATTTTATTTAAAAATCCAGTAGGATAATTAAATAAGCATTCCAGGTAGAAATCATATTAATGTCTATGTAGCAAGGTTCCATCCATGGGCTGTGGTTTAGTGTGCTGTTAAAATATAGTACAAAAGCAAAAATTTCACAGCACACTCACCAGCCAGCCTGCAAGAAACTAATCACACTGTCTAAATATTAGGGTAAAATACAGAAGTTTTAGTTGCACAAATTTACGTGGAAGCCACACTGCCTTGTCAAGGCCCCGCTGTGTAGTGTGGTCCTAGCTCTAATCTATGAGAGCCTTCATCTTGCAGCAAAGGATGAATCTGGTGCAGGTTCACATGGAGGTCAAGCTAGTTATGAATTGACCATTGACCATTGACCATTTGTTTCAAGTTTTAAAATATAGGACATGCTTTATTTTTGTGAACTTACAAATATTAAAGTAGACGTAGCATCAGATACAGTATACTTTTATGCTAACTGTATGCATGCTAAGTTATATGTAACTACCCAGATAGCAAGTAATTGAGCTGCAAGTTTGAAAATGACTTGCTAAACTATTGCAGACTTGCCAAGCTTCACAATTTTGTTGCACAATTACAGCAAGTCTGCATTGCAAGTCTCCAGACCAGCGGGCTTGCAGAGCTCTTGCTAAGAGCTGCAGGACTGTTGCTGTAGACTTGCCAAGCAAATTTGCTACAAATTCAAAAAGTGTCAACTAGAACTTGTGCTGCAAGTGTTCAGCAAGTCTACAACTTGCCAGGAATGTGTGCAGCAAGTTAACAAGAATTACAATTTAACCCTGCCACAAGTTTGTGGCAAGTTATCCTTGCTATCTGGGTGTAACGCTTCAAGTTACGTATCACCTCTCACAGGAATCACAGTATTCCTCCTGGCAGTGTCTTCACCCTCCATTCTCCCCAGAAGGAAGGGCCCCTCTTTGTTCCAGGGCCGGGGGAAGGACAATAATATGGAGGGGCGAGAAAAGGTGAGGAGGTAAGGCTGCACAGGAAAAAAGAAGAAGGAAAGAAGGGGAGCCTACAGCGGGAAAGTGGATGGCAAATAAGTCAATTTGTGGGGGGGGATAATTAGTGTTACTGATTCATATGTGCAAACTAAAATAGTACTTACTGTCTTGTCATCATTTTCAAAGACTTCTCTGGCTTCTTCATAAGTGCACCTTTCCTCTATGCATTCCCTTTCAAGATTCCCTGCTGAAAACTCTTCAAAAGTACCAGTGTTGTATCTCTTTTGTCTCACAAGAACACCACTTGCTGATTTATCAGACAGGAACACTGTAAAAAATACACATAGAAGTAAAATTTCAACCTTGTTTTCTAGTTCCCAGACCTAGTATACAAAGCCTGGCAGAAACCTAAGTTGTGCAAAGAGTGGGCAGTTTTAATTTTCTCCACCATTAGCAAGTAATACCATTACTTTACCTTTCCTGCATTTAAAGGTGGCCGCTGTGGTTTAGTGCATTTTGGAATCAATTAAAAGAGCAATAAACATGGGGAAGGGATAGAACATCTGCCAGGGTTTTATTGCTGTATATGTCCCCTTGGGGACATTCACTCTCTGTTTGCTGTGGTAAACATTTTCACTGGGACAAAAAGTGCTAAATTTTTTTTTTTACAGTTGTTACCGTAACAGGGAGTAAGTGGTAATAGTCAAATGGGGACACCGGTTCTGGTGACAAATAAGAGGTGATTTACCCTCAAATTCTTGATGTCCCCCTAGGACAGGCATGAAGGGTAATCTCCCCAATAGGACATGGAGAGCAAAAAAAATAAAAAATATTTACACCGTTTCAAAATGGAAAAAAAACAACAAAAAAACGTTTTGGCTATAGCTACGCTATAAATTTGAACTGTATGCAATGAGATGTCTCTGGCTTGAAGAGGTGGGGTGCTGCAAAGGAGAAACCTTGCTGTAGTGTTAATGAGGACTGATGTAGCAACCCACCATCAATTTTTGCAGTGCAGAAAAAAAACAAGGCAAATGCTTTACTGAGCACATCAGGTTATAGTACCATTCAGCTCTATACACTTCTTGACGATGGGGAGTACTCAGTGCACATTAGGTAATCATGCAGTTTTCTGTTCTTGCCACTTGTATATGAGCCCTTACACTGACCTCATTTCTTTGTATGGCACTATAAAATATGCTATGTCTGTAAGGGTTTGCCTGTGCATCTGTGGTTCTTGCTTTGAGTAGTAGCATGGAGAGAACATGAAAAAGGAAGACACAAAAGTACAGTATATCAATAAAGAGAATGTTTAGCAGTTCTGTACATATTTCCATAATTTATTATGGTAAAAAAATAAAAACAAAATGACTTTGTTTTTAAGTTAACATAAAAGCTAAATAAAAGATTTTTCTACTTACTGTGAAATACATTTTTCTGAGTCCATTAAAGTAGTATTAAACTCTTAAACTTTTTTTCAGTAATTAATCCAGATCAAAATATACATTACCCAGCAACGCATTACATTTTTGCCCAAACATTCACAATCATCATGTTTCTGAACAGCTGCTTCAAAGTCCCTAAGCTCAGCTTCCCTGTACTTCCTGGCCAGTACTAGATCACAAAGGACAATGCAGACTCCAGCAACTGTTCATCTACTTGTTTGGAGAAGAGAGGGTGCCGGGGAGGGGGGGGGGGTAGCTTGATTGAGACACACACAGCTTACTAACATATAGAAGGGTGACTGCATAGCACTCTGCTTGAGAAAGGAGTCACTCTAAAACAGGATATCAGGGCAAGTACTCAGGGGACCCGCTGGTTCTGCAGGGAACTAAAACTTTAAACATCAAGGAGCAGCATCTATTGTAAGGGATTTAAGCAGTATTTGAAATAGCTAAACATTCTTTTGACTTTATTATCACTTTAATGGACATACAAATTCAGAAACAGTCAGGTAATACTGCCACCTACAAGTGGTTTAGGACACAGGCAAGCAAAAAAAAAATGTTGGCCAACATATAACCACTATTCAACCAAGCATTTTCCGGGGAGACAATGTTAAGAGGGAATTCCCTCCCCAATCTACAAGCCCCTAATTGAGAAGGAGGTAGAATTTTCCTGATGCTTAAAGCCCATTTCCACCTTTGCAGAGGCATTTAAAAAAATAAACCATGCCAGCAATGTACACCAAGTGAACATGAAGCAGGCAAATGTAGATGCTTTATATAAATACAAAAATGTATTTACTAGCCAACAAAGTGTAGACTCCCTAAGCGAGGGTTTGAGCGTAACAGCCTCTCCACAGTCACCAATGCTAAAACCTATCCGGTCAAGTCTTGCAAGAGCTAGGCCCTTCAAAAGAGTTCTGATTACAAGGATCCAGAAAGTGACCCTCTTTATTAAAGGTTGTCTCAGCGTTCCACAATGGGAATGCCAGGAAAAGGGAACTAGGCTAGACATAAGATCCAGTGTATTGAGAAATACCAGAAGTAGATTAAGGAGAAGGGTGGAATTCTGCCGACCCTTCTACAGAGCTTCTGTGTTGAGGCAGGAGCATACTCCAGCCACCCATGGCATTGCTATGGTGTCAACAGCTGGTCTGAAGAGGTGGCATCTCTCAAAAGTTAATCAAGTCAGATGCTCCTTGGATACTCCTTCTACACATTTGTACAGACATCAGTCCCATACAAGACACACGTTTAGATAATTGCAACACGCTTTCACAACTAAAGAACAAAGCTCCAGACATTTTCTCCAGTCACTCTGTGAAATGGGGCCTACCCCTAGCAGTGGTGAAATTATACTTGAAGGAATCTGCCCATTCTAACATGGCTTGACAGATTAAAGTTACTGTTAGCCTGGGACAGAGTGCCAGACCTGGTAATTCATACTAGCATTTAAGAAGGCACTTTAGCTGCCTGTCAGTGGAATCTTGAAACGTAATCCCACCTTCAACCAGCCTAGTGATCCTCTCGTTAAGGTGTGTCACTAGTGTATCCAGTGGCGTCACAAGGGGGTTGCGGGGGGTGCGGTCCGCACCCGGGTGACACCATTGGAGGGGCGACACCAAAATGACTCACAGTCATTTTGGTGTCACCCCCTCTGAAAAGTCGGGCGCTCGGTCATGGACCGAACGCCCGACAGTATCAGGAGAGAGGAGGGGACCTGGCGGCATACCTTATCCCGCCGGGTGACTGTCCCCTCCTCTCTCTGCCGGCGTCCATCACAAAGATGGCCGCCGGCAGGTATCAGAATGCTGCCACGCGTGTGTGATGACGTCATCGCGCATGCGCGTGGTGACGTCACACGCATGCACATTGAAGTCTCGGCACGGTGACACTCGGTTACCGCTCCGGGTGTCACCCAGCCTCGGGACGCCCCTGAGTGTATCCACTGACCCCTGATTTATAAATCCCTTTTCAAAAGTAAAAAAATCCAAAACACTCTCAGGTGAAAGAGGGAGCTTGGAGCCTGCATGTGGCTCCAGCCAGTGAATGATGTCAACAGTCCCTTCGCCTTAACCCTTACCATGGCAAAACTGGCAGTGGTGAAAAATTTGAAAAAGGCATGCAACAGGTGCAAACAGTGAGGTAGCTCTTGGTGCTTTAGCCTGAATGGACTAACTCATAAAGTGAGTTGAGTCTTCAGAGAAAGATACTATAATAATGGTGCCTAGTGGTCTTATTAACAAGGTAGCTCCAGGTGCCCAGCCTATTCACAAAGTGAATTTTCAGAGACTGAATTACACCTGGGGCTGTGCCACTGCTCTGGGCCTGATAAGCACCCTGTGGCTAACACAGTACACTCTGGTCTGGAAAGCACTACATTGCAGAGTCCAGTGCCCAAAGGTCAATTTCCAGCCTAGCCCTATGTGTCCAGTTCAGCGGGATTTGCGCACAGCCTCTATAGTGAGGCTGAGGAAATGCTGATCTGGATAGCTGCTATACAGAAACCAGCTCAAGCAACAATGTCAGCAAAGCAACTAGAGGAAACATTTCAACAAAGCAAGGAAGGCTAGTAAAAAATTATAGTTTGACTTTTTACAGCAAAGCTGAGGGAAAGGATGCTAGCAAAAAAACAAAAAAAGGCATACTGGGTAGAGGAGGGATTATTTGGGGGGCTGGCTGACAGTTCTTTTGTTTGCTAGTATCCTAAACCTACTGTAGTGCCCCTCAATGTATGAGAAAAAAATTAAAAGTTGCATGTATATATTATGTAGTCTTATTCATGCAGTACGGGGCAGAGGGGAGCCCGGTCAGGAGGCCAGGGCCCAGCAACAGAGGTGGAGGAGGCCAGGACACAGCTGTGCTGGTCTGGCAGCTGAGAAGCCCGGGACCAGCCCACCTGAGACCCTGCCAGGCCCACCATAGAGAGTCTTAAGTCGGCTGTGCAGGATCTATGTTGGGCTATGCAGGGTCTTAGGTGCGCTGTGGGGGGTCTCAGGTGGGCTCTGCTGGGTCTATTGTGGGCTCTGCAGGCTCTTAAATGGGCTCTGCAGGGTCAATCTCAGGTGGGTTGTGTGGGTTCCCTGGTATGTGCAGGATCTTAGGTGGGCTCCACAGAATCTCCTGGGCTGTGCGGGGTCTCAGGTGGGCTCTGCTGGGTTTCAGGTGAGTCCTGAGTCCAGTGCGTTAGTAAGTCCAAACTCCAGTGCATTACTTAGTCCAGATTCCAATTCATATACCATTCTGCATTGCTGTATAATGTATTGCTGGGGTTTGTAGTCCCCCTACAGCTGTACACCACTGCAGTATATGTCAGAGCTATATAAATGTATAATAATAGTTGGTGACCGTGGGGG